TCTCCACCTGCCTGTCTAATAGGCATCTCAGATTCCTAAGTGCAAAATGGACCTCGAGTCTTCCTCAGAGATCTGCCTCCCGCCCCCGCCCTGTCTTCTGCATCTCGGTAAATGGCAGCTCCATTCTTCCGGAGGAGCAGGCCCAAACTGCTGGAGGCACCCCCTGACTTCTTCTTTTCCCTCACTGCCCGCCCGCCTCATACAGCCAAATGCTGATGCTTTCCAACCATTACCAGCGTCTGACCACTTTCCCCCACTTCCACCACTATTACCCTTGCTGGGGCTGCCATTATCCCTCACCTGGACAAACATAATTGACTCTGAATAGATCTCCCTGCCTCTGACGGTCTGTTCCAGAAGGAGCCTGTTAACACCTAAATCAGCACATGTCCCTCCTCTGCTCAGAGCCCTCCCTTGGCTCCCAGCTCACCTAAAGTCAAAGCAAAGTCCTTACCACTGCCCACAGGGCCAGGCAACAGTTTACCCCCAACCCCTCTCTGCCTTCATCTCCTGCCCGCTCTCCCTCGCTCACTGCCCTCCAGGCATAGTGCTCCCTTCCCTGTTCTTCCAACTCTCTGTACCTCAGGGCCTTTGCATTTGCTTTTCCCTCTGCCTAGAATGTGCCCCCCCCGCCACCCGCCTGCCACCAGATATCTATAAGCCTCTCTCCCTGTCTTCACCCAGGTCTTAACTCACCTGTCACCTCCTCAGAGAAGCCTTCCTTGACCACCCTGTCTAAAACAGGCCCTCATGTCATCCTTCTCGATCCTGCTACTCTGCTTCATTGTTCTTCACAGCACTTACCGTTCTGGGTCATCCCATTTTTTATTCATTCATTCATTCATTCATTCATTCATTCATTCATTGTCTCCCCAACCAGAATGTCAGCTCCATGAGGACGTGGCTTCATTTGTCCTGCTCACTGCTGCATCCCCCATGCTTAGAGCAGGGCCAGGTTCCAAGGAGGGGCTCAGAGGATTTTTACTTAATGAATGGATAAGCAAACAGGCACACCAAGGAAGGCGCCAGGTCCTCACCTGTAGCCGGGCCAGGATGTGGTGGTAGTGGAACAAGGTGCAGAAGTCCACGTGGGCCGCAAACTCCTCCAAAGCTGCCTTCTCCGCAGGACTGGAGTGGAATTCCTGTTACCTCAGGAAGCAAAACTTCTCTTTAGGTTTCTTTCCCCTTCCTCACAGGGAGGATTTCTTTCTCTGGCAGTCCATACAATCTGGGCTTTTTAAGATTTTCTTTTGCTTGGGGCGGGGGGCAGCCAATCTTACTGACCAAGAAACTGAGCCAGCCCAGTGTAGCAGAAAACAGACAGTGGAAAGAGCTAGAAGGTCAAGTTACTGCTTTGACACTCACTCGCTGACATTCACACAATGCTTATTGTGTACCAGCTGCTGCTCACTGGGCTATCATCCTCCAGAGGCTGTACAGAGATAGTTGGAATTATAACCCCCATTTTTCAGAAGGGGAAACTGAGGCTCAGGGGAAGTCACTTGCTGAGGGCCACAATGTTTGTATAAAAAGAAGCTGAGACTCCGATCCAGGCCTGCCTGACTCCAGAACACACATATTTAACAGCTTCTTTATGCTTCCTACCTCAGTGCCCTAGATGAGTGTCTTCACCTCTCTGAGCCTGTTCCCTTATCAGCAACAGAGGATCACACCCTCTTTCTCAGAGAGCGATGGATGGTAAGAATGTGAAGCAATTCTGTGTCCACATACATACACGTGTATTTGTGTGTGTTTATATCTACGTGTGTGCTTGTGGATAAAATCTAGCATAAGCCTTAGTACATACAGAGGTGTTCAATAAATAATTTTTAAATGAATGAATGATAATCCTCAATAATGACAAGTAGGATGATGAGAGTGGGGTAAGAGCTTAGCTCTGGGGGCGCCTGGGTGGCTCAGATGGTTAAGCGTCTGCCTTCAGCTCAGGGCATGATCTCAGGGTCCTGGGATCGAGCCCCATATCAGGCTCCTGGCTCAGCGAGGAGTCTGCTTCTCCCTCTCCCTCCGTCTCTCTCCTCTGCTCATATTCCCTCTCTCTCTCTCTCTGTCACATGAATTAAAAAAAAAAAAAATTAAAAAAAAAAAAGAGCTTAGCTCTGGAGCTGGACTCTCAGTGGAGCAGATGCCTAATGCCTCAGGAGAGACCACAGTCCCTGCCCTGCTCTGGAGTCAGACCACTTTGGTTCTAACCTGGGCCACAACGACATAGCCTTGACTAAGTCACTTTCGCTCCTCTCCTGTTTCAGTCACCTCATTTGTAAAAGAGGGACCATGGTAGTCTCTCTCTTACTGGGTTGTTCTGATGATTCAACAAGACGTGGAAAATGCCCAGCACTGTGCCATACAGTAAAGAGCTCAAACACTGTGATGATTATGATTACAGCGTCGCTAGTATAATAAGTATTATTAGGTAGTAGTAATAGTAATGATGAGGATGATTATTATACCCATTTTGCAGAGGGAAAAACCATGCCCCGGAGAGGGCTTGTTCAAGCCCCCAGCACAAGCTGGAGTCCGGAATTGCTGCTACATCAGCATCTCACAGGTCTGTCCCTGCATTCCAACGCCACGCCCACCTGGGAGTAGAAAGGGGACGGGAACTACAACTCCCAGGAGGCGCCAGGACATCCCTCTATGGCACGTAGGGTTGGGCCGCCGCGATGCCTGCCGGGAGTCGCAGTCCCCAGGCTCTCGGACCCGGGGCGGGCGGTACCTGTGTCAGGAGGCGGAGCAGCTGCTCCTTGGAGAACGGGATGAACCGCTCGCGGTACTGCTGGGCCCAGTCGCGGGGCTCCGTGGGGTTCCACATCTTGCGGTACTCCCCCATCTTGGCCGCCAGCGACGACAGGGCCCGGGGGGGCCCGAGGAGCGTGGGCAACAGGGACCATACTCGGACCCTGGATCCCCAGACCCCCCGGGTCACATGCAGCATGGCCAGACCCTTTCCCTGGAGCCTGAACGAGGGAAATGGACAGGGGTCAAAGGTCAACTAGAGGAAACGCACCCTCTCCACCTCCAGGGGCCGTCCCTACCCCAGGCAGGGCGCAGAGTCCATCTGCCCGTCTTGCAGCGCGTCTTGCCTGTGCCCTCCCACACTGCTCATGTGGCCCGCGCCCCAGGCAGGGGTCAGAAGTCTTGAGTCCCGGGGCGTTTTTCGGGCCCAAAGACCCTGTAGTGGCATAACGGGTTTCTGCGGGGTCTAGGCAGCAGGTGGATCTTAGGAGCATAGGAGATGCTCGGAAAGGCTACATAGGGGTGCAGGGCGGCCCTCCCCCGGCCATGCAATCCCCCGCCTTCTCCCTCACCTTAGCCAACGCTCGACTGTCATTGAGCCTCCTGCGCATGTGTAGGAAGGCGTCCTGGGTTCCCAAGGTTCGGCTTCAGACTGCAGTAAAACGCATGCGCAAAGCCTGGGTCATCGAAAGCTGTCCATCTTTCCCTACCGCCCTGTCTCAATTGCGTGTGCGCAATCTGCCAGCCTTTCTTCTCTCTCGCCTTGAGTGCAGCGCATGCGCTGCGGAAGTGTCTCCTTGTCTGCGCGCTTCAAAGGGAAGGGGGCGGAGCGGGCGCGAGACTCCGGGGAGGACTGGGGCGGGGCAGGGCTCCCGCGCGCGGCCAGCCAACGGCGGGCGGCCCAACGTCCGCTGAGGCCACGCCCCCGCTCGTGTCAGCTCCCGAGTAGGCGGGAAAAGGGCGGGGGCGGGACTTGAACGCAGCCAATCAGCTGTGGAAGAGCGAAAAGGCGGGAAAAAGCGGAACTAAAAGAAGGCTGAGGTGACGCCAGAGACCAGGAGGGGAGGGAGCCGGCCTCCAGGTGACGAAGATCGGGCCTCCAGAGTAGGGGTGGTCCTTTGTCCGGCAGCATCACGCCCAAGCCCCACCATCCCCATTCCAGGTCCTTAAAGGGAAGACTCTGATTCTAAGAAGGTAGCCCGGTGCCTGGGGCATGACCTCCTAATTCTGAGGGGAGAGCTCACTTCTGAGCCCATGCTCCCCACACATCTAAGGTCCGGACCCCCCCAACTTGAGGAAATGCACTCTAAGGAAGATGGACTTCAATTCTAAGGGGAGGCCCTTATCCTAAGAAATAACCCCAAATCATGAGGCCGGCCTAAAATACACCCTGAGATGCCTGGATTCTCTGTTATGGGTGCTGTCACCCCAAACCTTGAAAGGGATTCCTCTAGTTCAGACCTCCCAGGGGTTCTTTTTTTTTTTTTTTTAAGATTTTATTTATTTATCTGAGACAGCGAGAATGAGAGAGAGAGCATGAGATGGGGGAGGGTCAGAGGGAGAAGCAGACTCCCCGCTGAGCAGGGAGCCCGATGGGGGACTCGATTCCGGGACTCCAGGATCATGACCTGAGCCGAAGGCAGTCGCTTAACCGACTGAGCCACCCAGGCGCCCCAGACCTCCCAGGGGTTCTGATCTACATTCTGGCACCCCTTGGTCCCTGGAAAATCCTACCCGCCGCTTCTCACCCAGAGAACACAGTCCTTAGAATGAACCCCCTGGCTCCTGGGTCAGGGATGTGACCCCAGTCTCCCAGCCCCCCCACACTCCTCACCCTGCACCTCCACCTCTGGGACCCCAGGCAGCCCCCTCATCCTGCAGCCTCCTCGGCCTGCATTCCTGACCCCTGGGATGGGGTCCCCCATCCCCCATTCTGGGACCCCATCAACTCCTTCACACTGTACCCCCATGTCTGGAATTCTCAGGAGCTCCCTTACCCTGCGCCCCATTCATGGGACCCTCAGCCAGCCTCTCACCCTGCACGTCCACCTCTGGGAGCCCCAGCAGCCCCTTCACCCCCAAGCCCCAACTCCTCAAGCCCTTGTAGACCCATCACCCCACACAACCCCATTCTTGGGACCCCCCAGAACCCTCTACCCCATGCCCCTATTCCTGGGACCCCTGGCAGCTCCTTCACCCCACACCTCTGACTCTGACCTCCCACCATCCGTCTTGTCTTGCAGCAGCCGAGCCCAGGGTGGGCCTGCAGCCCCTGGACGGCAGCGACCAGCCGGTGGCACCCAGCGTCCCCGCTCACACCCCCCAGGACGGCAGAAGCAGAGCAGCTGCCATGCACATCCCTGAAAGCCTCCAGGACCTGGCTGACGGTGAAGCCGTGCAGTTTCTGAAGAGGCCAAAGACGATCATCCGGATCATTGGAGGGGTGAGGCCCTCCTGTGGCCCGACTGCCCCATGGGTGACAGGAAACAGGAGTTCTCACCTCTCAGACACAGTGTGGAGGGAGTGGGGGGGGGGGTGTAGGGGGAGGAAGCGGCCAGATTGGGAGAACAAAACAAAAGGGAGCTAATCATTGAAGTCACCTTTTACTGAGCACCTCACTCTAGGCCCTGTGCTACTCTGAGCGCTTATTAACTCTCAGAGGAAGAAACAACACTTCCAAGTACGTGCTATGCGTCCCATTTTTGAGATAAGAAAACTGAGCATCAGAGAAAGTTAAATCACTTTTTATTTTATTTTTTTTAGAAATCATTGTTGAAAGGCTGCACTGTCCAATGGGGTCGCCACAAGCCACATGTGGCTATTGCAATTTAAACTAATTAAATAAAAGATTTCATTTTGAAAGGTGGTCACAGTGGCCACCTTTCAGATGCCCACCAGCCACACGTGGACAGTGGATCTAGAGCATTTCCACCATGGCGGAAAGTTCCACTGGACAAGTGTTGGCTAAGCGCACACAGTAAGAGGCAGGGCCAGGATTCAAACCGGGATCTGTGAAATGCCAGAGCCTGTTCATTTTGCACCTCTCAGACAAGGCCCAGGACAGGAGCAGGGGCCGGGCCCTGGGGGAAGGAAGAGGTACGCAGAGGGGGACGAGAGTACGTCATGTAGAGCTAAGATACCAGGCATTGGGGGAGGGGTCACTGTGGGCCAGGCACTGTGCCAAGCGAGGGCTTTATAGGTGTTTGTTTGATCATTAATTACCACATTCCCAGAGTCAAGGCACCCGGGCTCAAATCTTCATTCAGCCCAGACTCGGCTGTGTGACCTGGAGCCAATCACAGAGCCTCTCTGGACCTCAGTCCCTGAGGGGGTTAGAGCTGTGGATCTGGGCTTTGGGCTTGGCCAACTCCCCTGCTCTCCTTTGACAGAGCTGGAAACTGAGGCCCAGGGAGATGATGAGACTTGACTGGGGTCATGGGAGCAGGTGGATCAAATCCAGGGTCCTAACCCAGAGCTTCTCCTTCCTACCCCTTCTGGAACCTGGAGAAGGATCCCAAGGGCCTGGCTTAGAATCCTGGCTCGGCCACATGCTGCCCACGTGGGATGGCACACTCCCTGCTTTGCCTGGGCCGCGCCTGGTTGAATCAGCTCTAGTGTCACCCTTCATTCCCAAAAGTGCCCTGTTTTGGTGGATAATATACCCAGTCACCCTATGTCTGTGTGACCTTGAGAAAGTGACTTGACTTCTCTGAACCTCTCATACCCTCATGTGTAAGAAAAGGCCCTGATACCATGCTCGTAGGAAAAACTGTTCTGAAAGTGAAACCAGTTTATGTCCCTAAACTGATAAGCATGGGCCTGGAAAGTATTAATCATGCTTTAAATAGCGATTATTATTAAGGACACGTCACTTCTGTGAGCAAGGAGAGGGATGGGCTTGGGGGGCCGAGGGTGATGGGGACTCGTGTACATTGCCATTCCTCCCCAGGGGAAGAGGGGAATTAGGAATTCCGCGTCCCAGTTCCGAGTCCCTCATGGGCATTAGCTCTTCCGCTCCTCACCATGACCCGATGACATGGCCGTTAACTACCCCTGTTCAACCCAAGGGGAAACTGAGGCTCACGGAGGTTGAGTGGCTTGCCCAAGGTCATCACCCAGCTGGCGAGCAAGTCAAAGGATTCTCACACCTCCAAAGCTTTGGAAGGAAAAGTGGGTGGCAAGGGAGGAGGCCCAGCTGGCGTGGACAGGCGTGGGGAAGGGGGAGGGCAGGCCACAGACCGTGCCAGACGTTTTGGTCACGGACTTTGCCCGCCGCCTCCATCCTCCCTCCCTCCCGCCCGCCCTCGTCCTTCCCCCCTGGCCTGGCTCCTCGGTAGGGAGTCTCTGGGCAGCTGGTGCTCTTGTCCTTCTCACTGCCGCCTGCCTACTGGTGCCTTAACTGATGGATCTTTGCTCTTTCCCTGGGGACAGGCCAAGGAGGGCATGGAAGGAAATTGGACTCTGGCTTCAGGGGGTTGGGTCCCCCCTCTGCCCAGCTGAGCCCCCTCCCTGAGTCTCCAGTGCCCGGTGCTCACACCACAGCCCAAGGTTTTCGGGGTCAGTGGACGAACAGCCCACAGGCTCAGAAGTCAGGAGGGCCAGATCCCAGTATCCCCTGCTTTGCTGACTGACCTTGAGAGGACACTTCCCATCTCTGGCCAATCATGAGAACCATCATCAGGCCTAGGCCCCCACCCCCTCTTCACAGCACCGAGACAGACTGGGAAACCGAGGCTCCAAGAGGCGAATGATTTGCCCAAGGCCACACAGCTGACGGAGCTGGATGCGTCTGGCTCTTTCCACTCCACTGTAATGGCTTCGATTTATCACCTGTGAAACAGAAATGAATCAGTGACGTCTACCACGTGGGGCTGGTTCGAGGGAGGTAGTGCAGGTAAAATGGATACAGGCTCGAGTGATCGATGGGCCTTCCAGTCCTTGACCTGGCTCTGTCCCCAAGTAGCAGAGCGAGATGCTCCCCTTCTGTGGACTCCTAGCTCCAAAACCAGGAATGGATGTGAACAGCCTTGGATAATGCTAAAGTGCCAGACGAAAGAGGGACTGGTTGTCATTGTTATATTATGATTTATATTCAGAGAAGGCAATTAAGGGAAAGGATAGAGGAGGATGGACAAAGGCTGAGGAGTTTAGGGGTTGATCCTTTGCCTCCTCCATCCCTATCTGAAGGGCAGGGCAGGAACAAAGAAGGGTCCAAAGTGACTCCTTCACAAAACACATTGGCTGAGGTCCAAGCTGGTGGTGGGGATAGAAGAGAAGGGTCCCCTATCCAGGAGGAGTTCAAATCCTAGTGAATTCCTTCCCCTCACCTACTCCCCCACTCCCGTCCCCAACACCGCCACATCCAATCATTCACCAAGTCCAATTTTACGTCCTAAATATCACGGGACTCCCCAGAGCTCTGACCTCAGCTCAGGCCTCAATTTTTCTGCCTGGGCCTTCCCACCAATCCCCTTTGTGGTCTGTTGGCCTCTCTCTCTCTCTCTCTCTCTCTCGTCTTGCCCCCTCCAACCCATCGCAAACCTGGAGATTTTTCTCTGACTCCAGGGCCAAGTCTGACCCCGGCCACCCTCTGCTCAGAACCCTTCCACACCTGAAGTTAAATCCAAGTAAGAAATTTCACTTTCCATGGCTCCCAAGTCCAGGCCCCTCCATCTGGTATTCAAGGCCTCTGAGGCTCTGGCTCCGGCCCACTTTTCCAGCCTCATCTCACCCTCCATCCCTTCAGTGAGATTTCTGTCCAGTCCCTGAAGGAGCCCCATTCTGCAGCATCTGGCTTTTGCACACACAGTTTGCCCCCCCCGGAATGTCCTTCGTCCCCGTCTGCCTGAAAATCTCCTCATTCTTTAATGTGCAAGTCAGACCTCACCTTATTTCCTCCTAAATGCAACCCCACGACTTCCGAACTGGCTCAAACCTTGACCCAGGCCACAGCCTCCTCTCTGGCCTCCTGACCTCCAGTCTCACCCCCTCCAGTCTGTCTCTACCCAGGTCTCAAATCCGCCCCTGCCCTCCCCTGCTCGCAACTCTGCTGTGGCTCCCTATTGCCCTCCAGACAACTTTTCTCGTCCTGCGTCACTCCGTACAGCCATCACCTCTTCCAGAAAGCCTCCCTGGAGCAACTTCTACCACCCACCATACACACACCAGTTCCTTCCATATCTGGCGTGGACCTTACCCCATGGCATGGTGACAATCTGGGGGCAAGTCACTGGAGCTTAAACCTTTCACTGAGTAGCACTGCTAGGAACCCTGCCCTCCAAACGGCTGATTTCAGCTTGAGGCAGTACAGCAGGGCCTTAAAGCAGGCTCCAGAGCTGGGCAGCTTCCATTCAAACCCAGGTACCCGCACCTGCCAGCCGATTGGCTTTGGGCAACTCCTCAGCCTCTCGGTGCCTTGGATCCATTATCTAAAGCGATGGGGCTGTTAGTAGTACCCACATCCTAGGGTGGCTATGAGGCTGGCTCAGGCTCGGGCTCACGCTCGTGGGGTACTTCAGTGGCATTTAATACGTAAACACCGCAGAAGACAAGCGCAGACGCAGACTGTTGTACTAGAGGATGCTGTCTGCAGCATGTACAGGCGAGACGCTGCCGGATCACTGAAGCTATGCTGGCTTTTTAAAAAAAAAGTCCTGAAGCAAAAAAAAGGAAGGAAGGAAGGAAAGAAAGAAAAGACAAAAAAAAAATAGTAACGTTTGTTAGATACTGAATGTTACATCTCTCCCTGTACTTTTGTGTGTGTGTTTGGAGTACTTCACAAATTTATTTTAACAAATTAAGAGGAACGAGGTGAGCAGGGAGGGGGGAGGAAGAAGTTGCTGGCTGAGGGAAGGGCCTGCAGGCAGAGGATAATCATGGGTAGCAAATGCTTCCGGAGCTCCTCACGTGTCCCAGGCGCTGCGCTACGCATTTTGTATTAGTACCCGGGTTTGGTGGCACGTACCTGGTTGGGGTGGCAGAAGGGGAGCATGGGGGAGGTGGGGAGAGGGCGAGGGAGTGGGGAGAGAAAGATGAAATTGGAAGAGCGAGTCCAGTACAGACCACGCAGGAAGGCAGGGTGTGAAAGGACCTCTGTGGGGGCTTGCGGGAGACAAGCAGAGGGGCTGAGACTGGAGGCAGGAGGCCAGGAAGGAGACTGGGGTGAGGTTCTACAGGGGAGAGGATGAGGCCCAAACTAGGATGGAGAGAAGAGGGGTAAGGAGCAATAGGGATCGTCTTGGAAGCCCTGAGGATGTGACAGGGAGAGGAGCGGGGCCCACCATTCCCAGACAGGGACCCTGGAGGATGCACGGTTTGGGTAAATGCTGAGCTCCGCTCGGGTCCGCTGGGAACGCCCCTCCTGCACCACCAGGTCTTCTCCCTCATCATCTTCTCTTCCCTGCTGACCGACGGCTACCAGAACAAGACTGAGTCTTCGAAGCTCCACTGCGTCCTCAATAGCAACAATGTGGCCTGCAGCTTCGCTGTGGGAGCCGGCCTCCTGGCCTTCCTCAACTGCCTGACCTTCCTCGCCCTGGACGCCCACGAGAGCTGCATCGGCAACACCCGCTTCAAGACGGCCTTCCAGCTCCTAGACTTCATCCTGGCTGGTGAGCCCCCTGGGACTGATCCTAGGGCCCCCGGGACACCTCCCTTCCCCACCCAGCCGGCCCACCGTCCTCCACACGTGACCTGAGCCCTCACCCCTCCCTTCTGGAAGCTCTTCCGCACCTGCTGTTTCCCCCCAGGGAATTATTACTCATCCTTTAGACTCAGTGTAAGGGTTACCTCTTCTGACCCCCAGGCTAATTCTAGAAGCCTCCCTTCTGCCCTGCTTTTTCCTCGCATTCACCTCCCTTCTTCACAGAACATTTCTTGAAAAGCCCCCCGGGGGCAGGAGGTGGGGTTCCAGCACGGAGCCAGGCAGACCTGAGTTTGAAATCTCAACTCGGGCGCCTGGGCGCCCTGTGGGTTCGAGCGGCTCTCTTCCCCTCTCTGAGCTTCAGACGCTGGGATGAAAACCTCCACAATGCAGGGCTTTTTCGGAGCATGAAAGGAGAGAAAGGAGGCCTGGAGTAATGTTGACCTTTTCTGGGCACTTCCCACATGTCAGGCACAGAGCCAGAGGCCCCACGTGCCTCGTGTCATGGACTCCTCAGACCCACCTGAGGAGGGAAGGCCTGCTCCTACCCCCATTTTGCAGAGGAGGAAACTGAGGCTTGAGGAGATTATGTAATTGGGCACACAGAAGCTGAAGGGCAGTTCCAGGCTTCAAAGCAAAGTCTCGCCTCCTAACCACTGCCCAGCACTCTAGATAGAGCCTGGCACACAGGAAGCGCCAAATAAATGAGTTCCTTTTCCTCAGGCCCTGGGGTTCCCTCCTCTCAGTCCGACCTCAACCTCCTCCCCACCTCCTCCTCCCTGCTCCGCACCAGGCCGATCCCAGCATCTCAGGGCTGGGAGGGCCCTCAAGGTTATTGAATCCAGGGCCGTCCAGGAGAACTTTCTGTGAAGGTGGGACTGTCCCATCCCTGCATTCCCCAGTAGGGGAGCCACTGGCCACATGGGGCCACTGAGCGCTTGAAGTGTGGCCTGTGCAACGGAGGAGCTGGGTTTTTAAATCCTATTTTAATTGATTGAAATGCAGACAGCCACACGTGGCCAGTGGGCTCTGGTAGCGGACAGCGCGGCAGTGCGCTTTATGGAGGGCTGGGAGGGAGAGGCCACCCGGCTGGACCCCAGCCCCACCCGCCCTGAGCCAGGCTCCCCCTGCCCCTCTTCTCTCCTGCGACCCCCCAGTCCTGTGGACAGGCATCTGGTTCGTGGGTTCCTGCTTCCTGGCCAATCAGTGGCAGCATTCGCCACCCAAAGGGTTCCTCCTGGGAAGCAGCGGCGCCAAGGCCGCCATCACCTTCGCTTTCTTCTCCATCTGCATCTGGGTGAGGATGGGCCCCCTGTGGGGGTCGGGGCTGGGGGCCCAGAACATTCCCGTGCTCACTCAGCTCCCCTGGGAGTGGGGGAGGGCTCCTCCCAGGGCCTCTGCTAGTCTTCTCTGTGACTGGGCAAACTGGAAAGAGGCCTCCCCTTACCCCATGCAGATGCAGCCCAACATTAGGCATCGTGCTGTGTGCCCTTGTGCAGTGAGCAGTGAACACAACTGTACCCGGGCCTCCCTCCCAGGCCGGTCCCCGGCCCCGGTCCCTCTCCTCCCCTGCCTAACCCAAGCCAGCCTCTGGCATGCCCTTTCCTGCCCGCAGATATTCCAGGCCTACGCGGCCCTCCACGATCTCCGGAATGATACTTCCGTCCCTTACAAGCGCTCCCTGGATGAGGGTGGCGTGGTGCTGACCACCCTCTCCCCACCTTCTGCCGCCAGCCCTGCTAACACGCCCACCACTGGCCCCAACAACCCGAGTTATGCCAGTTCTGCCCTGCCCCCCTATCTGACCACTCCGAAGGCCCCCCGCCTCGCTATGATGCCCGACAACTGAACATCCTCCTCCACATCAGTAAAGAGATAATCCTCCCTCCGGAAGGGTTTCTGAAAACAGCCCTCTGTCCTTCTCATGTCTGTTCCTCTCTGGTCTTTTGAGTGGCCAGGGGTGGGGAGAAATCCTACGAGGTCACTTCAGGGGTCTCTGCACTGCACGGGGCCAAATTTCCCATACCACCTCCCAGACTCTCCATCTGGGTGCCACTGGGACGACAGTACACCCCAGTGACAGGAAGGGGACATCGCTTTTGGCCCCTTCAATCCTCACCCTGGCCAGAGGAAAGAGGCACGAGGCGCCCTGACGCAAGGTCGGGCAAGCTCACATGCAGAGAGAAAATGCTTCTGCCCATGGAGAGAGCACTAGGAAGAACCAGGGCCAACACTGGGGGCAGCCCTTCCACTCACCCCAGTGACAAGACCCAACTCAAAACCAAGGAACAGGGGACGGCGAGTCCGTGAATGAGATCAGGGCAGAGCATTGTCTGCAAACATTTGCGAGACTGTCTTGGGGATTTATTCTAGAACCCAGAAGGCAACTGGGGACTTGGGCACAAGATGAGCAGGTGACCCCAGTGAGTGAAGCACTCATTAAGGGAGTAGCAGGGACAGGGGCCATGTCTCGGAGTGGCAGCTTTCACTCAGCACCCACCATTCAGCACCACGCGCCTGGGGTGTCTAGGGCAGCACTGTCCGATTAATACGTCGTGCAAGCCAGGGGGCCGTGGGAGGGGCCGCAGAATATTAAACTGTCTAGTAGCCACATTGAGAAAAGCAGGATGAAACAAGTGAAATTAACTTTCATGTATTTTATTTAACCCAATATATCCAAAATATTATCATTTATTTTATTTCAACACGTCCTAGGTATAAAAATCGAGCTCTCTTACATTCTTTCCTACAAAATTTCTGAAATCTGCAGACAGCCCATCTTAATCTGGACCCGCCACATTTCAAGTGCTAATGGTTGCATGGAGCCAATGGCTACTGTATGGGACAGCGAAGTTCTAGAACCTTCTGTTTTTTTCTAGAACAATCAGAAATCCACTTCTTTTTATGTGGAGTTTGTTGGCAACAAATAGAAAGAAAAACTGTTAATGTTATGCAGGCCAAACAAAACCAACCCACAAGAGGGCCACCGTGGCCTGCAGAGCATTCATTTACAAACTGGACAAAGGGATGCCAGTCGTGGGGGCGGGGGTCACATGGGGGTTCTATGGTCCCTTTTTTTTTTTTTTTGAGGTTTCCTGTGTGGCAGTCCCCATGCTTGCTCCTTAAGGTACAAAAATAAGTAGGATATGGTCCCTGTGGGCATCTTGGGAAAAGAGCAGCTGGGCCGCAGAGTGGGCAGTGTTCTGAGGTTCGAAACAGGAAGTCTCTGAGTACTAGTCCCAGCTCCGTCACTAGCTGGATAAGCTGGGATGTGGCCCTTCATTTCTCCAGGCCAAGCTGTCTTGGCTGGAAAACTAAAGACTCAGACCAGATTTCGATTGATGGTGTTCAGACTGCACACGGAGAGGTGCCCCCCGCCCCCCGAATCACCCCAAGCGGCACTGTTCCTCCGTCTTCCCACTCAGGCTTCTGGGTAAAATTCCTGTAAACAGAAGGTGCCTTGGCTTACAAGAAAGAAGCAAAAACAGTTGAAAAACTACATAGAGGTGGCTAAATGCGCAGGCTGCGGCATCGGGAAGCTCAGGGACAAACACCACCTCTGCCCCTTGCCCCTAGGCCCTGGTTTCCTCCTACCACTCAAACTACCCCCCTTCAGGGGTGCTGTTGGGGTCCAGCAGCCTCATCCATGCAACACACACTGCCAGGCACGCGGGCTTGGGAAACTCCAGCTACCCACCTGCCGAAGCTTCCAGAGCCATCCGACAGAACTGAACATGGCTCGGGAAGGACTTGGCGGACATCTAGGGAGCCATCCTGAACCAGGGGGCAAAACTCCAAAAGCCTGACAAGGTCCAGGCAGCTAACGCAAGTGAAGGAGATAATAGGCCAGGTGTGAAGCCGATCAGGAGGGAGACGTGGAAAATATTTGGCTTTTCTTTTAACTCCATGAAACAAAAACAAAAAATGCCCGTGTCAGCCCGATAATAAATGGTAGCAACCCCTCGGCCAAGTCCTGGGGATGGTGATGGAAGGCTCACATCTCTTCCATTCAGCTCCAGCCATCTGTTGCCACCCGGAAGCGAGGACCCAGCATTGTCAGGTTGATGGATTTTTTTTCAAGAGAAGCCAGAAATCCAGATTTCAATGTGGAAATCTGATTTCTAAAGGCTGGCAACAGATTCCATTTATTTATTTATTTTTTCTTTTTAAAGAAAACAGAGTGGCTCAACAAAATGCCAAATGAGGGCAGGACAGGGGCTGCCCACTGGTAACCTCTACAACACATGCTCTTGAAGGTCCTCTGCAGTCCTGGGATTCGGGAGAACTGCCAGGAAAGTTCTGTGCCAAGATAAAGAGAATCTTCAAGATTTTCTCTTTCCCACCACCCCGCCCCCCAAAACCTCTTCCCCATCACAGCCATGAGGAGTGAGGGTGCAGCTCAGAGGTTTGCTCAGAGCAAACTCGGGGAACCCAGTTTCTCACCTGTCTGCTCCTCCCAGGCCTCGATCGCCTGCAGGCTGTCGATGGGATAAAGGAGAAGCAGAGAGAGGGGCCGGGAGGGACCCCACAAACACCAGAGAGAGGGCAAGGAGTAGCGAAAGAGGCATCATTTTCCTCGGTTTATTTCAAGAGAACAAAGAATCAACCATCAATTCTGTACAAAAATGTGGCTGTTGAGCCACAGTGACCCTCAGGCCAACCCCCTTTGCCATGTCTGGCCCCCTCGCCCCCCGCTAAATTGTCAAAAAATGAGGACAAGACCAAAAAACCCCAAACTCTGGAAAAAAATTATATTGAAAAGTCAGGGAGACCATCCCTCCCCTCCTCCCTCTCCCCAGTCCTGAACTTTGGGGGGTTTGTGTTCTTGGCCACGGTGGGAGGTCAGACAGGCGGGTATGTGCAGGTTTAGTGTTTGGCAACGGGCAGAGCTGGGGGGTAGGGTCTGCAAGGGAGCCGAGGGGCTTTGGGGGAGGGAAAAGATCTCCGACCCTGCCCCGCCCCACAGGACACTCAAAAACAGTTTATAAAAATCAGGGGCCAGAGAGTAGAAGAGAAAGGAGTCATCAGAATCAAAAACTAAATAGTGGAAAGATTTTTTTTTTTCTTCTCTAAAAGGCAAAAAACTACAAACACCCCAGGTCCTGAGCTCCCCAAGACTTGGGTCCTCCACCACCCCCCTGAAACCCGGCAGAAGGGGGGCCAGGGAGTGCGGAGAGGTTGGTTCTTTAAAAAGTCACCCCTGGACGGGAAGGCTCTTCGTTGTTCGCACCTTCCTCCACCTCTCGCGGGCCGCCGAGGAGAGGGATGGCCAGGCCCAGGGCTACGCCGGCAAACTCAGCTTCTTCCCCTTCAGGACTGCGAGGAGACAGAGCGGGCAGGCATTACCGGGGGGCCCTGGGGCGGGGACAGCCTCCCACGCCCGCTTGGATGCTCGGCTGGTGGAGCGGCCGGGAGGGTCAGCCGCAGGGCCCCACATCATAAGCTGGGAGGACAGGCCTGAATTGCCCAGGGGTGGGCTGAGTGATGCAGGCAAGAGGCACCTAGGGGTCTCAGAAGGACAGGGTCCAAGGGCCTGGTAGGGCTGGCCAGGTGCCACCGCCCCCCTGCTGCCCGCCTCCCCCCCCCCCGCCCAGCCTGGAGGCCGCAGGCTGGCCTCCACGCTCTGCCCTTACTGTCCCCTCTTTCCCTCCTCATTTCTCAGCTCCCTGCTCCCATCGCCACCTCCTCAGACCACCCCCCCATATAAAGCAGCCCCCTCACCCTCCCCGGTTGCTCACTGACCCAACCCTGGTTTCCTTCTCTCTTGCTGTTTGCAACCATCTCTCTCTCCTTGTTCATTCACCATCACCTCCAGATTAGAACACAGGGGAGGGGAGGGCCACCTTTTTTCCTTCTGCTGCACGCCCAGAGCCTAGCCCTGGCCAGGGACACAGAAAGTGCTCAACACATTTGTTGGATGGTTGAATGAATGAATGAATGAATGTATGAATCTTGGTGGGCCTGAGTCCCTGAGGGTGAGGACAGAGACCAAGCAACAGAGAGGAGCCTCTCCCTCCTCTGAGCGCTGCTGGGGTCGGGGAGGTAGGAATTCTGATCCTTTATGGGACCTGGAACCTCAGGGTGGGACGAGGCCCTAGGACAGATTCTGAGAGAGGAAAAGTCAGAGGCCACTCCTGCCCGCTCTTTGTCCTGTCTCTTTGTCCTCCAAAGGCCCAGGGGCTGGGGAGAGGGATGCCCGCTCTTTGTGGGGTCAAGGGAGGACGCTGCTCTGCAAGCAGGCCGCAGCCACCACCCCACCCCACACCTCCGAGGCCTCGCTGCTCTTTGCTCGGGGACACACGGGCGAGGAGAACAATGCCTTGCTTCTTAGGTAGGCAGGGGCTGGAGGTCCGAATTCCCAGGAGGGCGGTGAGCCTGGGACCCCAGAAGCTGGGAGAGGAAGCCTGCCCTCCCTCGAGGGCTACAGGGCCGGGGAGACGGAGCCTGGGCCCCAGAGAGGGCGGGAGCTGGGGACGGGGCAGGATGCCCCGCGGCCGGCCCTCCATGCTGGCTACCTTTGGTGATGTAGAGGTAGAAGAAATCGCAGTAGAGGACAGTCTGGACTAGGCCCGCCACGATGGCGATGAGGTCGAAGAAGCCCTCGAAGTGGTAGCGCCAGATCCAGTTGAAGAGATAGAGCGTGCGGTAGACGCCCAGCGCGAACAAGTAGTGGCTGGTGATCGTCTCGGCCTCCCCCGTCTTGCTCACCATGAACAGCTGGGGCAGGATGGCTACCGACTCCAGGTAGATGGAGAAGGTCCAGAGGATCTGTGGGGAACCGAAGAAGCGGGGGCAGAGCGCAGGGTGAGGCGGGAGGGCAGGCGGCGGGCGGCCTTGCGGTCACCGGCGCAGGGATGGTGGAGGGAGAACGGGGACAGCGATGCTGAGCGGGGCCAACGGTGATGCCAGACACAGCTCCACCCGCGTCCCTGACTCTCCCACTTAATCCTCGCCACCACCCCTTCAGGGAGAGCCTGTCACTGGCATCCCCATTCTACGGATGAAGAAACTGAGGC